AAAGTATTGACTGAAAAAGAGGTGTAAAATAATCCACTGGCACTAGTTATTGAATCAGTACCATGTGGAATCAGAGTCTCAAGCTGTTCAAATTGCCATCGAATTGGGCACAAAGCTGAAGGTAATTTATATTTTTGAATAAAATTGAAAATTACCAAATTGAGAAATGCACTAATTATTTTGAATGAGGACAGGAACGATTTCATTGGACTTTCGACAGGAAAAGAGACAAGTGGAAGAGAATCTTAAAAAGAGAAATAAAAGATCTAGAAGCTGACAAAATCCATGATAGAATCATATCAACACAATACCAATTCCTCTGCTTCAGTAATGCAAGAACGACTTATATAATCAAATCCCTTTAAAATGTGGAGTCATGCATCGGCACATATTGTCGTCGGCGACAATATGTACTGTAAACATTTGCACACTTTGTCACCCAGATATTTTTGACGAATACTTACCAGGGTCGTGAAGAGAGAGAGAGATTGACAAACACACACCAACTGCAAATTTATTTTGTTTAAAACATTCTGATTCTACCCACAAGTACTCCAAAGTAATTATTAAAAAGAGTTTCTGATTGACAATATCTATGTAGTTTTTGGAGATTAGGTCTTCCAACCATTAGCTGAAATTCCAACTGGTATAAATTGCACAACTTAACAGGGTTTTCTTTCCCCGCTGATTCTACCAGGCCCGCTCCCCTGGTTGTCGTGTCCCTAGACAGAAGATAGGGATAGATGGAATCTGTTTCATATAATGCAGAATTATTCATAAATTCTACAAGAAAAGAACAAGTCTCTAGCTGTAGTCTTTAGATATATCGTCGTCATTTTATTTATAAATTAACAGTATTCATTTTCATTCCTAGACGTTAATTTGATTTGATGAATCCCTCTGAACTCGAAATATAATACACTACAGAATCTCTGACATTTATGTTTCATATTTGGATATTTTACTTGAGAAATGCATAAATGGCAAGCTGACAACTAAGTTATATGATAAACGTGATGATTTTAACTTTTCTATCGTCAACTTTCCTTATTCATATAGCAGTACACCATGGTGCACCTCCTTGGAATTTGTCTCCCAGTTGATTCGATACGCAATATCATGTTCTGGGTACCAACAACTTCTAAAACGAGGCAAGCTATTGACAAATAAGTTGATGATACACGGATATCAACATATCTTGTTAAAAGTCAACATTTTGCAAACACTATGGTCGATACAATGGCCTTGATAGCAAATAGTTGAATGTTGACTGACATTTTTCATACAAATTGTTAGGACATTATATACACTCTGAATTGTCTAGGGATTTTTCCGTTTAACCGACCATACAAGGAGCACACGGCGTTGTGACCGGTCGACAGGGGATGCTGATTCTTCCATGGCACCTGATCCCACCTCTGATGTTTTAAAGGTCCATGTTTGCTCTACTCCCAATTTGTTTTATTCTAATGGACTTTTGAGCTTGATTATACGGTTCGTTATCTTCAAATTCATGCTTATCACTGTCCATTCTCCAATTTTCAAAATCCGTTTCAAATGCCAGCACCAGTACTAAGCACACATGCAGCTACTACTATTTTCTACACCTATGCAGTCGATTGAACAGGATCTTTATCTTCCAGAATCAGTACCTATAAGCACCATTTCTTCAACATATGCATGTGCAGCATCAGTTCAGAGCACTACAAAATAGTGAAAAGACACAAATGAATTAGACGGAGAAGATACTAATATAAAAGAGCCCATAGAAAATAAAATGAAGACCAGAAAGACATTCATAGTAACTCATAGAATTTCTCCTTTTATTCCTATGTTATCTATGTACCTGTTATTTGAATAATTACAACACACACTACATGATTGAACAAATAAACATGATAATGGGATTTTTTCTTAGTATATACAGAAACATGCATATTGTTACTTTAAATTGTCAGAAACATGTATATTGTCATTTTAAATTGTTAAATTGTCATTTTTGATCTAATCGAAACAGGAAAGCTTGAATTTTAATTTCAAAGATGTTTAGTTACCGTTAACCATCAACAAGCTCGTATACTATAAAAAAAACTTTTAGAATAGGTAAAAATAAAACAAGAATTCAGAGTGAATAAGTTTTCTTTCACTATACGGAATTGCTAAGCAGGAATACGTGATGCGTTAATATTAAAAGCCAAATTAAAGAAAGAGGGTGTACAAGGCGATGACAATCTCCAGCTCTGAGATAATACACACAGTATTTTTCAATTTTAAAAGTTCACGAAAAAATTATATTTTTCTAAAATAATGATGTCAGTAATGTCTTCTTCAACACATATGATTCATTTATTTCATTGAATGACTTATTGATTGATAATTTTCTTTTTAAAGTTGACGGTTAAGAATATTAAGTGGAAAAAAGGTTTATTGGAGCCATAAAAATGATTTTAAAATGAATGGGTCAAGTCTCCATTCTATATTAATGTTTAAATGACGGAAAAGTAAAAGTAAAATCTATTTTTTGTTTCCGAGTCTGAACCCATTTTAGACTATATGAAAATAGAACATTTCTGAAAAAATTATATATTTCAATAAATTCGTTTACTTAAAGCACACTCACACATATCACCGACAAGAAGATTTCGTAGCGTAAATGTTACCGCGTTTAGTTTAACGCCTAAGCGTGAGCTTTGGAATTATATGTGAAGCTCTTATTTTTTTTTTCTTTTTACATACCTTAATAACAAAATTGAAAATAAATTAACAATAATTCATTCAATAAAGTAAAGGAAGCAAATGTGAAAAAAGATGATAATGATCATACAATTTTTGAAAATATAAGAGTCATTCTCTGTAATGACTTGAACTTTTATATAGGAGCTGTGGCACGCATAGTCTCAGAATTTCTCCAAACTCTCTATGATAAAAGTCTTTGATACCGTAAACTCAAATCAGGCAAAAATTGGTTGCTACGTGTCATGGTTACCATAGCAACATGTCCTAACGTTTGAAAAATGGCATTTTTCAACATGTTTAGAGTCCCCCAGTTAACGTTTGCAGCAAAGCAAACAAGTGGCAATGACTGTTTCTGAAAGTTGAAGGCCTGAGGTCTTAAATGCATGATAAACATGTTTGGTAAATCAACTTTTACATACGTTACTATGGAAACAAAGTATTCAAAAGTAATAATTTTGTTCATTTAATTTTATAAAGTCATATACTTAAGAATAAAAACAATTATAGGTTGAAATGCCAGCAAATAATAGACAAGAGATCCTTGTAACATATACCAAGGACGAAATATGATATTTCTTATAGGTTGGCAACGGTTGCTATGGTTTATTTACCTCGAAAGGATTTTAAATTTACTCTCTTAGTGTTTTAATCTTATCCTATCTTTTTAAAAAGCATATTTCTATGTAACTGATGATCAATTTTTAAAGGCATTGGTGTGACCCTAATTTTCACATTTCAAAAAATTCAAACTCAATTCTTTAAATAGAGCGTTGCTATGGAAATTAGCCGAAAAAATATGCATAAAAATCTGAAAAATATTCTGTTTCCTTGGATACGCACCCTTGTAAGTAGATTCCCAAAACTTTTATGATTGATAAATATGAACAACTAACCTGACTTTGAATTTTGACTACCACCCAATCTCTAACTGGATGCAAAAAGCTGGCACATAGGGTTTAATATTGATATAAAATTAACAAAATTGAACATTTTCCCTTCTTGGTAACCATAACAACAGTGATGTATTTTTCAATAAACTTTATCAATATATGATATTCAACTTTAGTTCTACCAGTTAAGTAGTATTCAAGGTGAGTCAAATAATATGTTTCTTGATTAAAAGGTAAGTAAATTCCTAAAGGAGCAAAAAATATCACTTTAAACGACTGATACATTGTTTCCATGGTTACAATGCAAAGTAACATTTAATCCCAATTTTTCTTATGTTGTTGGTGTTGCAAGGTTCCAAGGATGCATATGTGTTAGTCATGAATTTTATTGTTTTTCCTCAAGATAGTAGCATTAACCCAATCATAGCAACAGATTTTGCATGGTTACGCTGTGTTACCATGGCAACCATGAAAGTTATTTTTAGAATGATATTGCCAATACCTAATTACATAAGGTCAAATATTTTTTATTGTTTTTCTTAGGTTGTTGATTGAGTTTGATCATGTAACATCTAACATTGGTGAATATTGAGCGTTTTTCAGCATTTTTCAGCATCTATAATGTATTCCAAATGTACCCATGGTTACCATTTACTAAGAGATAAATTCTAAATAGTTTCTTTATAGCATAAGTGGCAACAAGGTGTCATGTTTTTGGGAGAATGGTTTGTTTGTTTTTCTTAGTCTTTATTAAGGCGTAATAAAGATTCAAAGTAGCTGAAAATCTCAATTTTTTCAACTTTTCTGGCTGTTACCATGGCAACCAAGACACATAGCAACGAAATTTTATTTAATATATGTTTCTGGTGTCAAGTTGTAATAATGGGCAAAGTTTCATCAAAATCGGTGACCATGCGTGGCAAAGAAGTTTAAGCGGTTACAGAGAATCGCTAATAACTTGTCATGATCTTTTAGAATTGTAGAAATGTCTTTTCTCAGAGCGGTGTATTGTCCTCGCCTTGTACGCCCTCATTCTTTTATTGTAAGACAAATGATACGCAGAAATATAGTGACGATACAAGTTTAAATTTTTGAGTTCTTTTCTAAATTTAAAAAAAAAAAACATTAAATAATAAATCAATATTTGCTTTCTAAGAGTGCTCTCGGTCCTCCCGGGGTTTCCTAGGGGTTTGTGTCAGCCCTATAATAGACCCCGAACAGACAATGAAGAACAAGCATTCGGTTCGGGTCCGCTTTCTCATGTGTCTGGTTACTGTATGTTTAAAGTTCTGAACATGTCCCGTGCCACCCATCTTTGACATTGTTAATCTGAAAGCAAGTTATTATCCGAAATTATCCGCTAAACCAAGAATTTTAAATTTCACTTCCGTTTTCCATTCGAATATTAAATTCCGACTCTGATTTTTCTTCAGTTACTGGACTAGGGAAAATGTTGTACACTGGAGGTTTCTCTGATGACGTTATTTTGTCCGTTGCTGTGTAGTACGTTGGATCAGGACTAATATTAATGATATTTTCTCCTGGATGCTCTGAAAACGATAGACAATACTTGTACTGGCGTGACATAAAACATTTTGACAAGATTCAGACCCTTATGACATTTGAATATCTGTAATATGAAATACATATGGCGATCTGATCTTAATTATTGTTGTAATATATTGATATGTTTAATATATCTCAACCCTTAAGGACATACGCAATGTACCTTACCTACTGATAATTTTTCAAAATATTCTTAATTTAACATTAAAGTGCCATCAGATGTTCATAGGCAAAAAATCAGCATGTATTACCAGGGGATTTGATAAGATATCAACTGATGAAATTTCTTGAATGATTCAAAGAAAAATATATTAAAATTGCTAAACATTATTCTATATTTTTTTTTTAAAATCCAAACTTGTTTTAGAAGAAGTGTACAACACCATATATAGACATAAAAATATAGCACACAGTTCCTTCAAGTATTGGAACTCTTCAACTCCATGGAAAAAGGCAATAAAGTTCAAACTACGTTGCGTATGTTCTTAATTCAACTGTGAAACGCATGATTTTGCAGAGAATTATACCAATTCTAAAAATACAGTGGGGTGAATACAGGTATGACATCGTTTCATTTATGCAGAATGAGGAATAGTGTACGTACCTGCGTCACTATTTTCGTGTGTGTCTGTTTGTGATTTTAATTCCGACGTTTGCACAAAAGGCTCACTTTCCTTTTTAGAGCCTAAAATGAAGAAGCAATTTCAGCGAAGTCTCAGTGATGTTCTAAAAATTCTTCGTCGAAAAAGTAGCATTTAACATAATTATATTAAAATTACCTTGTCTCAAAGATCCCTGCCCTCTTTTGCGTTTCCAGCATATGATACTGAGTATCATAATTCCTATGACTATCACACAGCCAAGGCAAATCAAAATCACTTTCCATATCGTAAATGACCGCTGAGTAGAGCTAAACAGCACAAAAAATGGAAGTTTATCATGAGAAATTTGTAATAAGGTATAGAAATATTATAGGGTTCATAGATTTTTCAAAGACGGATTAATATATGTTGGTAAATACAATTTCATCAGCAACCGCTTTAACAACATGTCTTCAAACATGTTGTCACTGATGAATTGAAATATTTGAAACTTTTATTCAAGCATCTAATAATTAATTTGACAAACTCTATTGTTCTTGAGATGACTTTATAAATATGTCAAATGCTAACCCTATGTGTGACCACATTCTGACACCAAGCGCTATGACTGTGTACTTACATAAAAATCTGAATATTTTTCTACATAAAGCTTTATAATTTTTTAATTCTAACTTCGAACAGGAGAGTAAAAGGATGCAGTTCCCTCCCTACTTAAAATCTGGTGATGTTTAAAAGCCTGATTTCAATGGATAGAGTCTCCTAATCCAACCCCCAACCCCACCGTTATGATAAGACTTGTAAATAAGAGCAATTAATTCACTTTTTGACACTCTTTTTCATATTATTAATCAATTACTAATGAACTCATCTTTGCATTCAAAGAGGTTTTAATGGCCAATTTGCCCATTTGGCGTTTACATTGAATGCTTCTGGATCCTTTTATTATTTTTCAAAGTATTTTGATAAATTCAGGTTGATATAGTATAATAGTAATATTTTGTGAGAATTCTTTGACATTTAGCTGTGAAAGTCTCAGCAATGTGGTGAATGTTAACTTAACTAAATAATCATTTGTGATACTACAGTTGTTCGTAACTAAAAAAAAAACTTCTTTATCAAATAAATCATATATGTTGAACCTTTTGTTATATAATGTCTTACAAAAATGCATTTGTTTAAATAAAAATAATTTTATTATTTTAACACGGTGATGTATAGAAATCGTTAAACTCAAAACTTTCTTCATAGAAATCAGTAAAATGGAGTGAAGCTTCTGTCTAGAAATGTGTAATTTTGCTCCTTCTTTATAATATTCGGGCCAATATTATCCTTCTTGAATTAGTTGAAAAAAATATCAGAATCCAACAACCTTAAGAGATTTAATAAATGTTTTTATAAAGTCATTCTATTCCATCATTTTAAAAATTCAATTTTTACGTTTTTCGAGGAATTTTATCAATTTTTTTTCAATATATAAATTTGTCCAGAGCTTTTTCAAATTGCGTTATACACTGCAAATATGGTTTTGAAAGAGAAATGAATAAATAAGTTACTTACATGTAAATTTTATAAGAACCGGTCTTTTACTACAGTAACTGTTATTTTTCCTAATGGAGAAATATTTCGTTTAGACCATTGGTTAATTTTTTTTCTAAATAAGTTTAAACTTCTTGTCAAATTAAGTTCTTTCATTTCTCTCATTCTTCGTAAAAAGATTTTCAGTAAATTAGTATGTAAAGCACAGAATTGAAAACTGTTCTGTTGTCTATTTTGATCCTACTGTAAAGTGTATTTTCTGTGTTAATTTCACAGCCAACCCAGACTGCTTTTGCTTTTGGAATATTTCTGAAAATTTTGAAAATTGGAAGAGAAGATCAAGGAACTTTTAATATTTTTTGTGATCCATCAAAAAGCAAGAGGTTCATGAACCACGTTGCTCACCTGAGAATTTTGGCTAGAGAAAAGCAGAAATCAGTCCATGATTAAAAAGTTCTAATATGTAAGTGGTCCATACCTACCCTCAGGGGGTCATGATTTAAACAAACTTGAATCTTCACTAACTGAGAATACTCCCATATTTATTAAATGATGGATTAAGAAGATTTTTTTTTTTAAATTCTTATATATTTCTAAGTAAAAGTTTGACCTTCTATTGTGGCCCCGACCTACCCCCAAGGTCATGATTTGAACAAACTTGAATCTAAACTTCCTTAGGATGCTTCTGTATTAATATGTGTAATAATGGCTTTGCTGTTTTTTTCTTGAAGATTGTTTTTAAAGATGTCTCCAATATATTCCTATGAATAACTTTGATCCCTTGTTGTGGCCCCGCACTACCTTCCGAGGTCATGATTTGAACAAACTTAAATCTATACTATGTTATGAAGCTTTCACATGTTTCATCTTTTCTGGCACCGTGTTTCTTGAGAAGAAGATTTTGATTTTTAAAAGATGTTATTAATTTTTCACTTATTTTCGATTTTCTTCCCTTGAAGGAGGGCGTGGTCCTTCATGTGAGCAAATTTAAATCCCCTTTACCTGAGGATGCTTTACTGCAAGTTTGGTTGAAATTGGCACTGTGGCCCTGGAGAAGAATTCGTAAAATTGAAGTTTACAGACAACAAACTAGAGGCAGACGGTTATGGCAAGGCGATTGCTTAAAAATTATTTTCTGCACAACGATCACGATTTTATGCACGAGCTTGATAAAAAATATACACGAGTACAATAAAAATGCGCGTATCGGTAAAAATAGTTTGAAAGATTTTTACACAAACATAACGAAAAATACACGATTAAAAGGTATAAAATGCACTATAGAAATATTTGACCGCCCATTCTGGTCCCATCTTTGTCCCGGGGGTCATGATTTGAACAAACTTAAATCTACACAACATAAGGATGTTGCCATATAAATGTGACTAATCATGGCTTTGCTGCTCTGGAATAGAAAATTTTCAAGAAGATCCTTCCTATATATTTCTATGATCGCCCGCTGAATCCCCTTAACCCAGGGATGCTTTGTGGCAAGTCTGGTTGAAATTAGTTCACGCAGCTATGTTAAGGCTTCCCGAAGCTTTAAAATGCGCTCAAAACATAATATGTCATTGCGAGGTCGGTTTTGGTTTTAATTTATAAGTATTGAACTTTAGTACTTCCAATTCATATAAAGGGTTTTCTCGGCTATATATTAGCATATTTGTTATGATATCACATGACTTTGTTGATCACGTGACGGTCATTTATAATTTTGTGAAGTGTTTCATATAAATCGCTTCGGCGCAGCTGATTAACACAATAATTATTAACATTTTGTTATATAAATAAACTCATCGTATCCTTGTGTATCCGAAATGTGCTTGGGAAAAGTCATAGTATTACTTGGGTACAAAATATTTCCTGAGAAATTCAACTTACCTACAAAATTGAGGGTATTTTCCACACAATATCGTAATCTGTATTAAAACAAAGCCAACACACATTTTTCCCAAGCAAGATTCAGTTAGAGAACAACCTCTTCTTACAGATTTCCACAAAAATTCTCAGATTAATCCTCATTAATCACCTGCGCCAGGCTCTTTTATACATACAAAACAAATTCTACCTCCAATCACGGGTATAAATAGAGTACATTTCAAAAGTATATTTTTCATTAGCATTTTGAACATGATGAATTTCAATCAAGGGTAGGTAAGCGGTGTATTTTAAAAATATTCGGACATATAAGACTTAAAAAACCTTTAACGACCCGTGGATTTTTCAATAGCTATCTAGCATTTTACATGCAGTTTGAAATAAAGAGTAAAGTTCATGACACTCTCCCCGTCATAGCACCTCAAGTTTGCAGTGACCTGACGTCATTTTCCATTATGACGTCACATTTTGGTAGTTCAGAGATGTAAAGGCACAGAGTGCACTGTCATTTTCTACGGGAAGCCTTAACCTACCTGCGCAGTTATTCTTCAGAAGTCGAAAAGTTTACAGATGCAACGATAAACGACAGACATGTGACGAAAAATTAAGAACCGTGTCATCTGCATATCGTTCTTTCCCTATTTCAATCCTTTGATATTTCTACATCAAAGCATAAAGTAAAACAAAATACAAAACGAAATCAAGAGATTTTACAGTATCATGATCAACAGTAACAAATATATTGTCTGGACAGAATATTACAATTGTAAATTGCCCATGATCTTGATCTGGGAGTTCCTGAGTCATGATTACAACAAATCTTTTCATGGTCAACAAAACACAGACTGCAGTTTCCATTCAGTTTAGTCTAAGTTTTTATTAGTCCCCTACCGGTGAAACCGGGGGGGGGGGGGTCTATAGGTTTCCTCAGAGTCTGTCCCTCTGTCTGTCAGTCTGTCCCATTTGGTTTTCCGCACTTTTTCCCTAAACGCTTGCAGATATTGAGCTGATGTTTGGTATGTGAGTGTATCTTGATGAGTTACAGATCAAGTTTGCATTTTGTTCCGCTTCATTGATCTTTGACGGAATTACGACCTTTTCAATTTTTAAGGGTTTTCCGCGATATTTTTCTAAACGCTTGCAGATATTGAGCTGATTTTTGGTATGTGACTTTACCTTGATTACTTTTAGATCAAGTTTTCATTTCGTTCCGTTTCAATGATTTACGAAGGAATTATGGCATTTTCAATTTTTAACGGGAACCAGATCATACATGCCAGTAGGGGACTAGTATTGCTAATGCAATACTCGCAGAATGCTTTTTGTTATAATCATTGCCTAATGAACTTGGCCTTTGGCATGTCACGTTGACCCAAGATCATGAATACTCGTTAGATTATAAGCATCAGAAATTGGTTCCTGCGAACTAGGGGGAATTGATTGGAATGGATTCAAATGATGTCCTTGAAATAAAGATACATCATAAATTGATTCAAGATCAAAAATCAGGGTTAAAGTTATTGAGCAATGAGATAATAAGATTGATTTCGAGCAATAGTTTGTGTGTGTTCCCCTTCCAATATATATATGTAAATACCCATAAGCTTAGTATAAATACTTTGTCATTATGTAATTTATTTTATTACTGTGACAAATTGTAAAAATTCTTCTTCTACATTATTATTCTGTATATTGTATTTGTATGTATGCTACCCGATCTAGGGAGCCCCTGGCACCCCTGGTGAGGATTATTAACTTGTTTCTATAAATAAATAATCAAAAAAAGATTGATTTCGAGCCACAATTTAAGAAGATTTGATTGCAATGGATTAAAAATCATGTGCTTGGCTGAATTTATTCTAAGTAAGGTTTCAAAAGTTAAGACAGATAAACAATATGTGACAGACACATAACCATAACCGTAGTAAAGGCAGTTGTCTCCAAATATTAAAAATATTATTCAAAACCATTTTCCTCCTCACTAGACCATTGATCATTTTATACAGAGAGAGAAAAAGAGTGAGTCACTTTTCGTTGTTTTGGGTTATTTGTCTTTCACCATTAGGTTGCAGCTTTGTCAGATTATAGCACCCAGGATCTGATCGAGAGAGAAAACATAGTCAGTCCAGTTATTACTTAAGGTTATTCTGAGCGCCATATTTGATTTAACTAAAGCAACAAAAAATCTTAATAATTAATATGTTCAATAAATACAACATATCTTACATTTATAAGCAGTCGTCGAAGAATATGTGTATGAACAATTCTCTCCTGCTCTCTGACAAGTTGCAAGAGAATTTTCTTGTATAACTTCCCCTCCTGGATTAAATTCGGCACATTTTCTCTCTACAGAAACATTTATTCAAAAACAAGAACAGTAAGAATTGTTTCACATTATATTAATCCTCGCCTCATGTAATCACCAATCATTTCTTAATCTAACATGAAAAAGATTAATTTTATCATTATAAAACCTAAGTTTAATTGATCATTTATTCACTTATGTAACCTAAAATTGAAATTTTACACACATTATGTGATGCTAACACACAATACTGTACCTATTATATTCACTCTTTGTGCACAAACTTCTAGAGTTGCGTTAAGAAATGGATTTATTAAACAATGGTATTCATATTGACATTTCTCTGAATACTGAGAGCAATTTTTCCTCAGAGAAGAAATCTGCCATTCTACAGCCGTAATAGGACAAGTAGAAACATATCTGACGGTAGAACTTGGCTTAACACATCCGTCCGTGTAAGTGGAAGCCTTGTGAAAAAAATTATTAAGCACCAATCAAGATGTATTAGACTTGAATTAATGTAATGCTTGTTTGGTCGTTAAACGATAAAACTATAGCTTTGCATCATATTCTTTTGTCTATACTTGAGTTAAAAAAAACTACATGTAGGTACTATTTTTAGGCAATGAATTGAGTTTTGGAAGACATTTACTTACCTGAATAACAAAGAGTAAAAGGTAGACTTTGTGAAGTAGTTGTAGGCAAAAGTATTTTATCATATTTCTCCTTTCTACCATAGCATAGAATGCATTTCACTTCCTGAAATCGAATGATCTGTTGATGTGTGGGTCAACATAAGCGACATATATTTTTACATCTTCAACAAGGTTTGGAAATAAACCCTAATATTTCATTATGTAAACTGTTGCTTCTTTATAAAAAACCAAAATTTCCAATCTTTGTTCAAAACTTTCTCTTAAATATTAAGACATAGTTAATTAAGGTCAAGATCCAGTAAATGACTTCAGACTAGCTTTTTGGTGCTAGATCCATTATGACGTCATAATCAATTTTAACTTTCTTTTTCCCGTACTTTACGGCTGTAGTAGAATTTTGTAGAAAATAAAGTACTTTCATGGAATTCAATTTGAAATCATGTGAAAAGTAATCCTGATACCTATATTCAATTTGTTATTATTTTAAAGAAGAGGCCAAGAACATACAAATTATCGTTTTCTGAGAGACTGTAGGCAATCTGGATACATTTCTTTGTCTGATATGGAAAAAAACTCCCGTATTCATGACTAATTTTCTTAATTTTCCATTGAAAATGACAGTTTAAAATATGATTTTTCGTCTTGTTCATCTACAAATTATGCCCCGAAACACCTTATTTGCCCAAGCTAAAGTTATAAAGCACCATTAAAGGTCTTTATTTCTCAAATTTGAGAAATCTGTAGGCACCTTTCATTTACTAGATCTTGACCTTAATGATTTTCAGCCGTACTCACCGAATTGTCGAGAACCATTTACTTGAATTTTGCAAGTACTCGTACATTGCAAAATGTGGCTCAAAGTGATAAATTATGTACCTTTATAAATTCGTTACAGTCGCAGTCAACGATTTAGAATATAAACCATTTTTTTTTTATTATCGTCCAAAAAACTTGTTTTTCCCTACAATCATGCTGATATGACCTTCGTGACATCTTTAATGCAATTTTCACAGCAAACAAGTATTAGGGATTAACATATTTAATCGACTGTTCTGGCTATTTACTTGACTGGGAATATTATTCTCTATCTCACTGTTCAGTAACTTCGACTTTTTAAGGTATGAACTTTTTGTCAGGGTCAATGCACAAGGTTTAAGTCTTTAAGATATCAGTAACAAAATATTCGTCTGAATTCATTCATTCATAAATAAAGGGGTTTGAAAGTTATGTCTCGAAGACGGTTGCATTTCATTTTTTAAAATAATCAACTTTTCATTTCCGACATTTTGTAGTTTTCATCCCCGACTTTATCATAAAGTACTTTTCCCTTAATCCATTTCCATCAAGGGTTCTAGAGTGATAGTTACAGAGATAGACAAACACTAGATAGACAAAAATACATGTAACTATGCTATATAAATATGTATCCTCCACTTGGAAGAGATTAAACATCTTAACACTGAAAAGCTAAAAAACCGCGGAGCCTGACGGGCGGCGGAGATTAATACATGTTACACATGTTTTCAACGGGTATACATGGCCCGATTTTCTAATATTTTAAAATTTTGCAGCTACAATCCAACCCTTTCCCATCGCCTAGTTTTCACTTTTCATTGCTACAACTTCAGTTTAAAACTCAATGATATGCATTTTAATGCTCATATGTTTGGACTTTGGTCTTTGGCTTACTAAACGAGGAAGAAACTATCTGTTTCGAGCATTTCTTAGTTAAATAGTGTTAAAGGTCAAGAACACTGGTACTATTTTGTTCACAATATATTAGGATTCACATCTCTCTGAAAAGTCTATCGAAATTATACATCTTCAATTCTTTAGATGTATATTTTGTTTACCATTGAATTAGATAATTTTATATGTTAACATAGATTCAAATATTCGTCATAAGTAGAAAATGATTCCAAGGGAATAATTGCTAAGCATATGCCCACTAAAAGAAAAACCCATTTAGATTGCTGTACTTGTTTGTTGTTTTCCCCCTCTCCCGTTCTATACATATTACTAGTACGTAGTAGACCCACTTCCGCTCTCTCTAATTTTATAATATCTGGAGAGTTCTTATTTCCATTTTAATTCCAAAACTGTTAATATAACTTCCTACCTTCCCCACTGTGGAATATTTTCAATTGTTTCAGACTGAGACAACATTTTTCCGGAATGTGTACATAAGTTTTTCACACCATATATTCCTCGAACATGTCGAAGTATTATGATCATATACAAAACGAAAGTAGAAATTAAATACATAGTGAAACTTAAATTTTTTAGATAAAATTAATGTTCACATGACATTTTTCTATTGAACATACATACAACAAAATTGCTTCATGAATATGATCGATGTGAGGTGAACAGTATATTACCTTATTTCTTTATTAGTTGTTGAATGTATTTGTAAAAATAGAAAAATAAAATCAAAGTACTGCTATCCAATGAATATTTAAATAACAAAAACATTGGTTGCGTTTGTGAAAATAAACAACATTCAGTACTCATCCCCCCCCCCCAAAAAAAAAATTGTATATTGAATCGTTTGAAAGAAAATTAAGTTAAAGAGGACTGTGAAAAATTTAAGACCCATGGGAGGGGGTGAAATTAAACAAAAATGAAATTGAAGAAATTCATATTTTAAAGTATACACTTGTTGTCTTGTATATATACTCATTTGTACACATTGCCGTCATAGTCGTAACTATAAAAAAAATCATTTTCCGATAGTTCTCCGATTCTCCGATAGTTGATTGAATCTGCAAGTGCCCCAAAATTTTATTATCGAAAAAAATGTTTTTCCTTGTTTTGATTTCAAACTGTAGCTTAAAGCACAAGTCAGTTATATTTCTCATTATATTAATTCTTCGTATTTTTTTCCTTAACAAGATACTAGTATATTTTATTTTCACAACCCTTGATTGAAAATCCTGGTCACTTCCTTTATGTAATCTCTTTAGCTGAAGTTTGATGTATTATGGTTCTATATATATATAATTTGCGCCTATGAAAAGGAAACAGATTTATGCAGTATCCCTAAATGACATTTCTTGAAAGTAAAATACAAATGCTATAATTTCCGTGTTCACTTAAAAATTTATATTTTTGGTGCTTTAAAAAGTTAGTGTCAAGTAAATTATATCATAATCAACGTATTGTCTGGGATGATAAACTTTAGAATTAGTTATAATGATTCCACTGTTGATTCTCGAGCTTCTGCTGTGGTCTTCGCCTTCCTGTCAATCTAAGTGCACAGGGTAAGTGTAGGGGAGGGTCATTATGCGAAGAATACAAAAACCTAGCCAAAATATACTGTAGGGACTTTATAAGAAAACTATAGATTTTTTGTTATTCGAAATAAAAGAAACAGAGCTGAAATATTAGTTACCGACTTGTAAATTAAATTAATGTTTTCTAGATTGTATGGCAATGTTTGCTGCTCTGGTTACATGCTTGATGAAGCTTTGAATCAATGCATAAGTGAGTTCATTTTTTTTTTTTGTATTCCATATATGATTAATTTTGAAAAAGACATGAGGAGTGGAATCGATGCATAATTGAGTATACATGTAGTACATTATAACATATCTATTTTTGATATTCTTTACATTTGTATATAAATTTACTATGATAAAAAACCTAGATTTCTATAAAGTTAAATGGTCCGTGATAACTTGCGTAGGAAAAATGCCTAGTAGATAAATGAATTTTTCTACTTATTCTGAAATGTACAAAATTCAAAACATCGAATCTCGGGAAAAGTGAAATGAATTTATCAAAATGCACTTTGGCAACCTCCACAGCTGTGCGATATCCTAAGCAGATCATTTTTAAAAAGATAAATACCAGTAGATTCGGGTATCAATAAAGAATTTAAAAAAAAAACCAACATGTTTTACAAAACGGGTGTTAAGTTAACCAGCATGTTTCACTTATTCCTCGGAGCGAAGTCACAACAGCATGTTTCGATGATTAATTTTATGAAAACATTTGTTTACAAACATGCATCGGCAATGTATTCTAATTTGATGTATATTTCGAGATAAATGATAATTTTCTTCAGAGAGTAATTTTTTAACTAAACATGAACCATAATATCTCACACTTAATTTCTTTGGCCAAAAATATCTTGTTACGGACCGGACAAAATCAAATAAGAAGAATACAAGGTAATTTTAATTGAAAATATGATGTCTATCAGCAATTAAACTGTATGTAAATTCTGAATTTACCGGGTGAAAATGTCATATCGTAAATTTTATTTTTACTTCCAACCGTCAAATTCAAAACTTACAAAATGAAAAAGCTCACCTGTGCCATATTTTAATGTGGTCATTAACATAAACCTGATTTCCGTTATAATATTAATAATACAATATTAACAGTACATAAATGCTTTATGTCAGATGTATTCTTGCTATTCTTGCAGCAATATATCGATTTCTATAAACCTATTGTCGCCACATCTCAGCCCAAGAGGTCGTGATTAAAACAAAATGGAATCTACATGGATATGCATTCACATTTATGTATACTTAAATATTCTGAAAACTGTTGTGAAACTGTTCTCGTTTTGGAGAAAAAGGTGAAAACGTGAAAAATAATAAAAGGCACATATGTTCATGCGTACATGTACATATAAGTACATATGCTTAACAAACTTAGATCAGGAAAGGTTCTTTGGGATTCTGGCTCAGGTGAGCTTAAAATTAACAACACAAAAGAATTAGAAAGGACAAAAAATGTATTTTTTACTTCAGAATGTCCCGATGGCTTTGTTGGTGACAAATGTACAAGACAATGCCGATTTCCAACGTACGGATTTAGATGTCAAGGCACTTGTGATTGCCCCGAACATTTATGCGACTTCGCTAAGGGATGTATAACGTTGACAACTAATGGTAAAGAAACTTTTGAAAATATATATTTAGATTAATTTTAGATCAGCTTCTTTTACTTCTCTGAAATCAAAATCAAAATGACTATCATGCTTGAAAGGCAACTATTTTCGGGCTAACATGTATATTGAATATGTTATTGTAACTTCCATTGTTTGTCGTTAATATCAAGATTTTTTGATACTATTTTAGAGCAAAAAATTACAAGAACAACAAAAGATAAAGAAACAACACCTAGTGCCGAGTCAAAACAACAGGAAACGAACTCATTTTTCATCCCAACTAGTTTATCTACACATGGTCTTGCTGAACATATTTTCCGTACTTCTGCAACAATTACTGATTCACCAGTGCTAAAAAACTTTTGGAATTTCCAGAATATCATGATAGTTGGAATGTGTAGCATATGTTGCCTTATTCTAATCATTGTCTGTCTTCATGTAACATGTCATTACCAAAACAGAAAGAAATACAATATTACAAAAGGCAAGAATAATAAGTCGATCCAACACGATTCCGAGGACCATTACTTTGAAATAGAATTATCAAACTCTGCCATTGGCATTGGTCCTCCCCTTTCGCAAAGTATTTTATTTGAGGGCTTGACAAAAGCAAAAATAACACATTTGAATTCCAGCTCATATTTGATAGAACTTCATGGTGTTGAATCCAAATTAACCGAGGAAGACAACAAACCATTTAGATTCGAACGTCAAGCAAAAATACAAGAAAATCCAATGGAAGGAGGTTACATAGCACCAAACTACCATATGGAGATGAATAAATCACTCACTGAAAAGGAGACAACAGAGACCAGTGATTCGGACTTAAAAACAGGTCATGATTATTTATCTGTTGTAGCTGATCACAAAGTGTAAAATGGGCTGTCATTTTACCCGTGTTTAAAGATCAGATCAGTTAAAACTGAAAGAAGAACACAGCAGAGAGATTGTATTTTTCCTGCTATCAAAATTGTTTTCAAACTCACATTCAACAATATACATGATATCCGTTTCAAATTATTGATTTAATTGATATACCAAATGACTTAACAAGTTACCAAATTATTATTTATTTCCCGGTGTATATATTTAATAATTTTTTGTATCAAAGGATTCTTTGGTAAAGTATTATGACACGTCCATCCTAATTGCACAGATTTTTAATTGTTTTAAACAATGTCATAGGTTACAAACCTGTGTAAATATCTTTAAAAACAAAAACAATTGTATTTGAGCTGTATTTCATTTTATATATGTTTTTCTCTACTAGAGACAGACATTTGTAATCTAGCTGGTCTTTTCATTTACATCGCCAAAACCCTATAAATCACTGGATTCCGAGCAACAGCGAAGAGCTGTTTGGAACGCATTTGTATTAAATATTTCTTCTAGATTGTCATAGAAGGGGGTACTAAATGATCTTTTAACGATTTATGACATAAAATAATGCTTTGAAGTACGCCAAGTCACACTTTACGATCTTCCGACGAAAGTAATATGAAAAATATTTCAAAATAGATATGAAATATTTCAACTATCAATTTAAGTATGTAGTTCTTTGGGGGGGGGGGGGGTATTTTCTGTCAACATTGATGATTTTCTGACACATCTTCGCTAGCCAAGGGTTTCCGATCCGAAATCTACTCTACAACTAGTAGATTTCGGATCGGAAACCCTTGGCTAGCGAAGATGTTTCTGACAGAGCTTAAAAAAGAAGTGTGAAGTGAGAATAAAATTTACAATTATAAATTAATGGTAAGAAATTATTCACAAAAGTCGGCAGAACATAATGTTTAATGTATTTCTGTATTGTTTTGGAAGATACAATCTTAAACATTAAAATTCGGAAGGGGGAAATTCAAGTTGTTTTTGTTTTAAATAAATTAATTATTTGCTTTATAGTTAAAGGATTATTTAATCAACACGGAATAGGTAACTTGTATTATCTCATAGGCAAGGCACAAAGAGAAAACACATAGTGTCGCACTTATGAAAAGTGCCTACAATAAAGACAATGGTTCTTCCACGGCCGTTATCAGAAAATCGAACTTTCTCGCCGTGGGTATTTACTTTCCATTTCGCTGCTCCGTCGCGTTTGAAGAATACCTGAGCTTGCTCATTCACACCAAGGGGTGCAACATGATATATGTTTCGAGGTTTACCTCTGCACTCTTTACAACCCTTGAAGTACTTGAGGGGTATACTGTATGTCTCCTAAACTCTCAGCGGGAGAGCTAGGGTGCGTGCTTATTATAAATACGACTGGAGCAACAACTTGGTCATCACTGTGAATCTATCAG